TGACGCAGCAGTCAATTTCCACCAGCCAAATTGATGTCAATGATCACCGAGACAAATCAGAGTGCGTGATGCCAGAGGTAGCGGACAAATAACAATGAGGAGTATCATCTATACAGCAAATGGTCATCAATTTTTCGCAGATCGATGAATCCGCGTTATCCGGAGATTATCCGGATGCAAGCATCATCTCGCCAGTTAGAGGTTTCCTCTAGAAGAGGTGGTTAGCATTCTCGAAATAACACCAAGGGGTATTTTTCGGCTCTCTCCAAGGCAATCGACCTAAACTACGAGACTCATTTACACACTTAGATCCCATTGCCATCTCCGGTCTCGTTTTCCTCGCCTCTTACCATCACCCACACCTCCACAGGAAAAAACCAACCTCCAGCACTCACCAAATGGTTTTCATATTGTCTTTTTACCGCTCATTTTCCTTTTATCGCTTGTTTGGAAGGACCCCTCCTATTCAACTGGCCTTCGTCGAGTTTCTAACCCCTCGCACATTTCGAATGGGTTAATTTTACTCCGCCTTCTGCACACGGGTACCCAGGGGGAATCCAGTGAATCTCCCAGCAATTTAACCTTCATTTTGCCGCTGATGCCATTCAACATTTTGGGAGTTGGTTGTTTTAATCGATTAGTGAGGGTTTTATCGGGTGGGGATTGCATATCGACGAAGGTTGAAACGATTTGGCTGAAAAGCATCGCAGGTGGAGGAACAAACGGGGAGGCGACTGCCAGCAGCACTTAAGACTATTGTTTTCAATGTAATTGGATAGCTCTCTCTCTCTCTCTGCTCTGCTTTTTCATCCCCTTACCCTCGTCCAGTGTCCCTCGTGCCGATCCCCAGGGCTACGGACCTTCCCTCAATCCCCGAGAAGAGAGTGAAAGAGAAAAGCATCGACAATTATCTTGATTGTTTTATGCATACAGCAACAGAACACCCGTAGATAGGCTCCCTCGAGGGACACCCCAGAAACACCATCTCTAATATTTTCCCTTTCACTCGGATATATACTTTTTTTTTTTAGCCCTGGCTATTTCTCTTGCCCTAGGGGTAACTCCTCTCTCTGGAAGTGAACCAAACGGTTGCGCACCGTTGTCGTTACTTCTGTCGAGTTTTCGAGTTTGCACCACCTGCGCATTATTTACTGCTGCAGACTTCTATTCCCGGTCGAGGCTCCAGGAGAGGGCAAAATATGACAGGTATACGATTCTTGACCCACTCACCTGTTCCTATTAGTTATATTGAAAAGGAAGATCTACAGACTTCGAGAGGGTGATTAGTCCCGTTGCAATTTTGTTTCATCCATTTTTCTACTGTTACTATTCTGAAAAAAAAAATTATCAAATGATACTTGAGATAAGTACTGATTATATATTATTTTAATTTCTTGCCAGATGTATTGTTTATCCCCGTTACTTATTTTTGTTTTCTAAAAATATTTTTGGCACTTTCATCGTGTGATATAAATTTACTGAGGGAAGTGACAGGTGGGAAAATTTCATATTCAGAAAGAGATAGTACATATCAAGGTAAAGACATTTAAAGACTTGAGGGGAGAAATCATCCGGGCTTGTTTTTTTTATTGATATTATTTGAGGTATAGACTGACAAGTAATGGGGGTGAATTTAATCATTTAAGACTAGAAATCCATGGTTGTGCGGGGTATAATGTGGCATTGAAGTTGTTCTGAAATTATACTTATGATTTTCTGATGAATGTATGTCTGGAGATAAAAGATTTCTACGGATGAGAGGTAATCGATTTGTGAGTTCCTGGCTACCAAATTAGATTATACATAAGAGCTTTACACGAAGACTGAAATAGAAGAAAATAAATAGACGTAATGAATGGTTTCAAGCCAACGACCAGTTTCAAATAATTCATGAGGAGTCAAGCAGATACTTGAGTCATGTGTGGTTTGGACTTGATTTAAGTTCTCTGAAATCAAGTGGTGAATCATATTCAGATCCATTTGAATTAAACTATCGACTTGACTTCGTCAATAACAATTGATAAAAACAAACTAATCACAGGTCACAAATTACTCGAACTAGGATTTCAAATCAAACACCTGTCTTCATTTTATTAATTAATATTAATGAAAATGTCTTAATTTAAATCGATACTGCATCTAGTTATATATATTTACTTGGCAGCAATATTTACTTGATTAAAACACTAGAATTTGATCTATAGTTCAGTTGACCTCGGATTGTAATTCAAGAAATAATTATCAGAAAAACGCAGTGAATTGAACTTTACTTTATTTTATTATTAATATAACACGAGGAAGTGACGTCAAACTAAATACCGGACTAAATCACAAAGACCAAAAGAATATTATCATCTATTAACAAAGAACTCTCAGTTGATTCTCCCCATGAAGTCATTGTTTATGTTTATATTAAAAAAATATTTTCAATAATAAGTTATATAATCCAATACATTGGAGTGCATTCGAATCCACCATCAGTCATGCTGACCTGAATGTCCAGTGAGAACTTTCAAGGAGTTTCAGACAATTACACCCAGGGAATAAGTCCCCAGCTCGTGGCTTACTCAAAATTTCGTTGGAATTTTTTTTTTTTTAAAGGTACGGAACCAACAAAAGATTACTCGTTTACGAGAGCAGAATGCCGTGAAATTGTCCAACGGACAATGCATCTCTGATTTAATTAGGATAAGAATCATCGGATCGCTTTTCGTTGCATAATACAATACCCCCATGAAAGAGAGATGGTTCGCCCCGAGTGTTTGATATCGGGCGTTGTATACACTGTAAATAGAGGAAAAGGGAGAGCACTGGGCTTTGTGCTAACTCGCAGTGGTGGTGACTAGCGTGGGCTTGCCTCCAAGAAACATGATATACCGGGTGCTAGGGGTTTGCGGGTTGTGGCTGCTACCGTGGTTTCCAAAAATACCGCAGGGTTCGCGCGACCGTAGCAAAAAGTTGCGCGACGCGCGCCACACAACAGCAAATTCAGGGGAAAGGGCACCGTAATACTGGTGAGAGCGCCACGTGCTAATTATGTAAAAATATGATGCGGTCCTCTCGACACGGTGGTCAACGCTTTTATGTGGTGACGATGCTTTATATTTTTTCGCTGACCCCTTTTGCCGAGTCAAATCGATTCCACCGACGCACCGTAAAACAAAGACATACATTTATTCTGGATGGGGAACGAGATGGGGGATGATGGGGTGAAATGCATTCATATCACAAATTATTTCATTATCTACTTTTTACGTTTTTATAAATGTATATTAGACTATATAATAGACTGGCAAAAAAATAAAAAATATTAATAATGTAAAATAATTTATTGGGTTTTAATTGGACGCTAGGTTAATAGACGTTTAAGTAATAAGGTTAATAGACGTTTAAGTAAGAGCAATTGAATGATATTTTACTAAAATGTGTTCATACTTTGAGACCAGTTGCCGAACTGGCAAACGATCTCGAAGTCACAAAAACGAAAACATCGGCATCATCGTTTCTTCCTTTCGATAAACAGAGATTTGTTTATATTATTATTTTTTTTTAATAAACACTCATTAGAGTTCCGTCGTAAGACCACACAGACGCCCTCTCCAAGACATAATGACCTCATAGTATAATAAATATAACCTTATATAGGTCTGTAATATGATCGTATTGTTTTTGCTCTTTTCAATATAATCGATAATAATACAATCGATAAAGAAATTTTCGATAAAGCTTTATCGATTGATACTGTATGTTATTATTGAAAATGATTAATTCTAAAAAATTCTAAATTCTAATTCCGTTTTCATTACATCTTGAAATATCAATTTAAAATTTAATTTGTTTAAAAATTTTTTTCGGTAATACATTTGTGTCGCTGTGTTATCAAGTTTTCGGGAGATAGACGAGACTATTATGATTTCTTTCTAGAATTAAAGTATAATAATAAAATTAATTACTAACATACTTGAACTTTATCGTACACGGAGAGAAATATTTACTAAAAATTACGGAACTTTCCGTTCACTTACCGATTACGGAGTTGATTCGAAAAATTTAAGTGACGGTATCGTTATTTTTCACCGATAATTCAGATAAAAATTACGGAACACCGCGGAAAAATTCCGTGAGTTCAGATAAAAATGACGTGACAGTTCCGTAAAATTTCCGACAACTACATTTCGCTCCAGAATTACGGAAAATACACGTAATTTTTATTGAATATTTCTCTCAGTGTACATTTCATACTTTTCGGATCTCAAGTAGTACTTCAAAGACCGCCGAAACCCAAAACCACACACCATCCACGAAAAAATCATGTCAAAAATTCGGCAACTGCGACCGCTCAAACAATTCAGGTGGTACCAAGCACTCCCTCAATTACGACTGGCCATGCCCATGGTATCATCAAAATGCATCAAGAGTCCATGTGCGATATTTATCATCGACCCGGGTGCTCAACTTTCTGCGAAACGTAGGATCAGGATGACAAGTCTTGCGGAAGGAGAATCGAGACAACCGCAACGCATCTGCGCCGATGTAGCACCATGATAAAAACCCGACTATCCGCCGAAGTGACGGGTTTTTTTTTATTAATATATATATATTTAAAAAGGTGGTGCTTCCCGTTGCTCTTTTTCCGCCTTCCCGCAGCACTAGGGACGATAGCTGCACTCTTTTCCGCGTCCCTCTCCAACCTCTCGGCGATAAATAATATTTCGCAGGTGCACTCTGGGGCTACAGCACGAGCTATATACCCTTCTTTTCTAAACGTGTACCTGTTCCTGTAACCGTGTCGGAGCGTGTGGCGTTGCATGCCACCAAAGTGAAATACGGAATCTCATTCTGTCTCTATTGGCTTTTTTTTCTCTCTTTTTTTATTCATTTTTTTACTCTGTTTTTTACTCCTGTACTCATGGCATCGTTTTGAATTCCACTCCCCCGCATTCTAATGCCTCAAAATACGTATTCCATAACATGTAAAATTTATCTTTTGACATTTGCAGCATCCCTACCCCTCGGAAGACCAGAAGAAGCAGTTGGCACAGGACACGGGGCTGACGATTCTTCAAGTCAACAACTGGTGAGTTATGCCACTTCAACAATTCCATTACTTTATGATTCCCGGTTGATAAACAACGTGCTAATATATAACCCCTCGAATCCCCGCGATTCATTCAGCTCAGATATAATCCCGAGAGTACCGAAAAAAATAAAAGTATTTATGAGAGGGAAATCTCAACGCGATCTCTCCGCCAATTAATTATACCACGTGTGCGGGTCTCCGAACACCAAAGTCGGCAAAGCCACTTTCAGATAGCAGACGTGTAAACATTACCGAAGCACTTTATGCCTTCACCTAATCTCACCGAGGTTTTCTCAAGTGTTTTCAGTGTGTTGTGGTGTACACACTCAGCTTCAAAACCTCCAGCATCTCGGTATCTGCTATTATGTTGCTAACTTTACGATTTAACGTATCTGTAACGGGCTGAGGATGACCGCCACGCAAGTTCCTCAGATACCGTGGCTACACGACAACCGCCATTTTACCATGAAAATACCATAATAAGTGATATCCCTACCATCCAAGTCCCCAGATTAGAATCAACTTATTTTAACAACTCTGGAAATCCAACATATCACCACAACCATGCTGAAGAAAAAGTTATTTGACAGGTGCGAATGTACTTTATGAACAAACTAGTACTTAAAAATTTTCAAGAAAACGTCTCTGCACTTTTCTGAAAAATTAGGAGTTAAATATTTTACACTGAGATCTTTCCTTAGTCTCGAATACAAAGTACTATTGGTACTTGAAGATCTTCATGTCCCAAGTTCTGGGGGGAATCCCAGATTTTGATTTTTCCAAGTCTCAATTTAAATAGTACTGAATACTTGAAAAATTTTGATCTTCGAGTCATGATCTAAACATAAAGACTAAAATAGTTTTCTCTCAGAGATGCCATTTTTTTCTTTAGAAATATCAGAGTATTTGTTTTTTAATACAATTGAAGACACGCGTCTTGAAAAATATTTTTGTTCGCAGTGGGTGGGAGAAAAACGAGGGGATAAATTTGCCAGGGAAAAAAATTGTCTCAGTTGTCTCTTGGGTGTCTCAAAATAGCCGAAGAAAAAGTTGGTAACAAAATCTTCAACTGGTTCTACTCCCGTTGGAAACGCGTGTCACTAATCCCTGGGGCTTAAGCATTTTGGTGTACAGGGGTAAAAGGGTTGGGAACAAGGTTCCGTCTTACCCTGAATCTCTCGTTTAGTCCCTTCTTTTCACAAACGATGAGAGAACCGGAGATGTATAGAATGGTCTTAGTTGTCCTCATCCTCATCCCCTGGTTTTTGTTATCACGCCTCTTCCTGATGGATGTTTTTGGTATGGCACCTGCGCCAACATGGAAATTACATCACTTTTCCGTCGTCTGTTTATCACCCAGAATTAAATTCAACCGAGATAACCCCATATCGTTGCCTCTTCATCCGATATTTTGCCAAATTTTTCATTCAATCTTTTCACAAAGTTAAGAAACACCATTACGATGTATCTTTGTGGTTGGCTTTAGATTTCACGCTGATATAAACCAACGGAACAGACGGGCAATGGAGGAGAGAGGACGAGACAAAAAGAGCGAAAAGTATTTGGTGCCTCAAAACGGCGGGTGGCTTGAACCCACAGTTATAAATATCTTTCATCTTCCTTTAATCGTATTCTTAGACAAGTTTATGATAGTCGGCAGTGGGGTAGAATGGACATTGGGGTAAAATGACGAGTGAGACACATGGAGGAAAAATTAAATGACGATTTACGGTGTCATTTGGAAAAAATCCGTTTATTCAAATTTTTTATTTAAAAAACGAGATTTTTAATAATAAAGTTGTGGTAAATTACTGCAGAATTTTTTGTTGATGGAACAGTTTGAGCGAACAATTTTTGAAATATTCTGGTAATTCTCAATTTCCAAATCGATATGGCACGGATAAAAGGTCAAATCTCAAATATTAAATTTAAACAAAAGTTGTTTATCGTAAACACAGAGTTAATTAATTTTATCGTTATTATTTGATACGAAAAGAAAATCATTCAACTTTGAAAAAATCTTGAGAAAAAATTGTAAAAGAGAATTTTCCGTTTTTTCTTCTTCCTAAAAACAATAACAATTTTATCTTTAACGTATCACTTTAGAAAAATATTTTCCATAGATTTTTCCATTAAGAAAACCGTGTCTTTTACATGGGAAAAACACTTGAACGTAATCCAAAATTTCTCTGTGAAATTGATGAATACCGGGATAAATTTATCATATAAAAATCCCCTAATGTACTGGAATGTTCACATTACCCCATTCTACCCGGTTCGTTAAAAAATATTGCAATAGCAATGCGACATCTCGAAGATGACGAGAGAGAATACAAAATGAAATAAGAAAGGATTGAGAGTAGTTTGTGATGCGCTGTTGGTAATTGAGCACAAATCAAGTTTAAGAAGAGGCTCACACGTCGCGTTAAACATCCCAATGGGATTTGCGGAGATACTTTTCCCGAGCAAGCGTTTCTGCAATGCATTCTTCAACCTATCATGCTGGTAATTGCCCTCACGTGCGATCTTAATTGCATAAAATATCTTCATTTATTCTCCTGCCCCCTTGCCCTCCCCCCCACCCCCGCTCATTGTAAATGATTTAATTATTCCCGACAAGTTACCAGTCATGAGAAAAAAATGGTGAACAAAGACTAATGCAGGACTCGTTTTGTGTTATTGTCGCAAGCATGTGCACAATTATACGTTGAATTTTCCTTTCTGCAAGAGGACTTGTGAAATATTTCACCTCGTGAAACTCATGTTTCCGTAATGTAATTAGACCATGTGGCCGTTGGCGCCCTCTGCTCTTCCTGCACTTGCTAAAAGTGAGTGAGTAGATGAGAGGGATGAGGGCGGATGAAATTCTGAAAATGGTTAATGCTTAGAAATAGCCCGTCTGCTAATTAGAATACCTGGAGGGGAAATGAAATAATTCGTAAATAAAATAATTGCACAAAGTGGGTAGGGTAACAGCGGAATATATCAAACCTGGTGCATCCTTCTTGGCCCAGTCCAACAACTCCACGTTTTTCGTCCACAATTTTCCGTCACATATATCAACGTGGACGGTAGTTAGAAACGCTGCCAGCTTGTTACCCCGCAGTGTCCATTACCGCTGCATGTTTCCTTGGTTTTTCTTTGGACCCTCCAACATCACCATGTTTATCCACTTGGTCAAATCCTCCGAGACATCTCATTGTGATAATCCAATGATGAAGAATATTCCTCAACAAATGCAATTGATCGTGAAGACGAAAGATCGAGTGTGAGACTCATCTCCACAAGTGATTCGTATCTTCATGAATGTTTATTTAACTCAGTGCACATTCACTGTCTTGTCTCAGAATCATGGAACCGAGACGCAGCAAATTTGTACTAATATTCTCGCTAATTCCGACACCCAAGCATCATCTCATCTTCTCAGTGGCCTCTTTTGCCGTCTCCCTCATCCTCTGTGTTGACGGCACCAGAGAGTTGGACTAATAAACTAGGAGTTATTTATTGGTCCAACGTAGCCACTATATTTCGCGATAGTTTTGGCACGCGGTAATGTGCTGCATTGCCAGGTGCCTCGGTAGTTTACATTTATTTCATTGGGGATGAAAAATATATCCACCAACGCGGAACATATTAAACGGTGGATTAATTGACCTCATGACAATGTCCAAATTTATCGTCAATTGTCAGTTGACTAGTTGCTGTTGACTCACAGCTATGCTCATCCGATGCTAATGGCGACATTCTTCGGTTGCATCCCGTCGGCATGAAAAATTATTATTTTCTTTCTCCACCACTCAGCCACATCGTCCAACGGATTCTCATCCTCAAACGTCGCGGCTCCCAACGAATACCAGTATGAGACCCCCTCGTTAACATCATAACTGTGCGTACTCGTATAATTTAGACCGCTGTAAAATCCCGCGAAACGACGGGACAACACCGGGTGCCTCTCGTGTATAACTGACTTACTAACGAGACATTTCGTTTTACAAAATCACTGCTACCCCAGGAGGTTCAAGTAGCTGATTCCAACTTACATTCTGTTCGGCTGTAAATTTAACATGTTAAGCCGGATGTTAAAATAGGTTGAAAATATTTTAACGATCCCCGAGAATTACCCTAGACTGACACCTGATTGATAGCACCTCAACATCTAGAGCCTCACGTACGACAACAGTTTCATCTTGCATTGGACAATTGATTACCAAACAATATGGTGGAATGAGCTAGACCCCTGGAAAATCATCAGCAGCATGTGCCTTCTCCACCTAAATTCTCACTTATTGGGTAGCTCTGTCAAACAATCTCATTTGATGTTCTCCTCCATCCGTTTGCCCGAAGGCACCCCTCACCCTCTCCAGTATCGCCATTCACGTGCCTCAGGTCTGCGTGAATGTGGCGCCCTAGAAATCTCCCTCACCAAACCACCATTTCCCAACCGAAGAGAAGAGAAACTCTCCAGGGATCGAGATGCGAAGGGGTAGCAAGAGTCGGATATCTAATTAGCGAGGGCTGATCGGTAATTACTACGATTAATCAATCCGTTTTCCATTTGTGCTCCCCAGCACACGGTTGCCTTGGGGAGCAAAACTTCTGGAGATTTGGGATAAACCCAGCGCTGACTAGAATCCAGAAACAATGAGCTGTCAATTTTTCTCATTGATCGATAATAAATTATCATGAAATTATTAGCAGGACCTTTGCCAATGTGTCTATTGAAAAATTCACAACCGCAAAAAGTTGTTTTTAACTCTCTCGTTATCGTTTGGTTGCGAGGGCGTACACGTATTCACATTCTCTTTCTTTTCCATTTCTATCCAGTCCAATCGAATTTGCATGGGAATTGCAAGGAGAACAAGCAGAGGTCTCCCGCAATGGCACTTCTCCTCGAATCGAATTAAAGTCTCTGGTGTTCACCTACACGCATCTACTTTATACCCGATTTTTTTACCTCATCCTCAAGCAGGTTTCCTTTTTGCTTTTGATGGTGAGGG